CCTGCCAGGCCCTGGCTGTTCTGCTCACGCCCGGCATCTCTGCGCTGAAGAGAACCATCCTCACCCCAAGTCAGAAGTGCCAGTGCCCGGCGAGGTGTGAGCTAGTCTCAGGGAGACCTGGGCCCAGAGAGGGGTCCTGGGGCCCCATGCATCTCCCCAGCCTTGGTCCTTGCCTCGCCTGGTCCCCATTGTGCTGGTGAGAAGGTGAGGAGGAAACAAACACTGGAGTGGCAGGAGCCCCCCCCCCCTCCAACAGTGAGGCCAGACCCCTGAGAAGCTGAGAGGCCAGAGAGTGAAGGCCTGTGGCCTGTGGCAGGGCCGGCTCCCTGTGGCCACCCCTGTTGGCTTCTGCTTCACCGTGGTGGCCCCAATCATGGCCTTGAAGGCCTGTGCTCACCTGCACCCCCTTTATCACCTACCAGTGTGGCCATTGTTGTGGAGGGGCCGGCAGCAGGCGCCCAGAGGTGACTCCAGAGCCTCCCTTAACCGACTGCTCCATCTTTGCAACGTCTTCATCCTCACGGTCTCGCTCTTCTAACCCAGGGAGCGTTGTATAAATGTAAAAACTGCCTATGGTCTTTGAGATTGTTAGTTAAATCTGTGGGTTAAAATATGAAGCAGGGAATTTGATGTTAAGCAAGGTGATTCTCAATACTTGGTTGGGTGTTTCGTTTGTTTACTTGTCAAACCACACCTAGCAATGTCTGTGTGTTAGACCTGGTTGGAACAACCCTTCCACTCCTTTATCTGAGTAAAGGAAATCTCATTAAAATACAGCCCAGTGGCCACCAGGGGGCGCTGCCACACAGCACAACTCTGTCCATTTCAGACCCCAACAGGTGGACCAATCCGGAAGGAAGGTTGCTTCTCTCCCAGCCATTCAGTCAAGGACCATCACCAACCTGAAGTCTGGCTTTCCCCCAGTGGATTTTCCTTTGGAAGAGCCCCTATTATTTTTTTCCTCCTCTCCAAAAATATGTTTCTCTCCTGTTAGTGGAATTTGCTTTTTTTTTTTTTTGGCTATAGCTTGCTTGTTCCAAATTGCAATTCCTTTGCTGTTCCTGAATAAGCCCATTTTTTGCTGGCAAAGTAACTGCCTATTGTATTTCCTAGGGAAAGTGCTGTTATTATACCCACTTTACATGCGAGGACATTGAGACCACGGAAGATTACTGTCATGACCTGAATCATTAGCAGAGTAGCTAAGATTTGAGTGTGAGCTAAGCTTGCATTTTACACCTCCACATGACGTGACTTTTTCCAAACCCTCTAGGTAGAGCTCGCTTTCTTTTCATCCACACAAAACCATAAGACATCGGTGATAGTGGTAGGACAGTGCTCGTTATGAAACATTTAAAATAAAGGTAAATAGGACTTTACCAAAGTCTTCACACAAATGTCAGAGAAAAGCAAGTGTAAAGATCTCCCTCCTCTCCATTCACCCAGCTTTCTGGGAAATGTGTATCTTGAGGGAGGGAGGCTCTGCCCGTTCCACAGCGTTCTGCTCTTATTACCTGAAGCAGAAAAGAAAAAAGAACATGCTCCCTGCATAGCATTTAGTGACAATGTTCTGTTTGCTTGAGGCAAAACTCATAAACCGGCACTAACAAGTCATGACTATATTCCCAGTCTTTGAAATCTATCCTGCTCTGTCTGCTGTGAAATGTTCCGAGGTTCCCAGGGACCAGTACGAAGGCCCATCAGCCACATAATTGCCAGCATTTCCAGCATCTTCAGAGGTAAGTTGGGGGTCAGAGTCTGGATCCTGAGGGGTGAACCTGCAAGTGCTTTCATTTAGGATCTGGTCAGATGCGTTCCCTGTCCAATTCAGGCCTCTGGATTGTTCCAACACTCTCCTTAATTTAGGGAAGAAATTATGGACCTTGTTGTTCCAATGAAGAAACTGAGATAGAGAACAGTGACCCCTCTAGACACTGAGCCCCTTTGTATGTGACATCCCCAGGAGGGCACTTGGCACTGTCCACAAGCATCCCTCTGAGACTGCATCCCCTGCTCGGGCCATGAGATTTCAACAACCCACAGGAGGAATGGTTAATTAAAAGAAAAGCGTGATTGCATTCTTCAGAAATGTCAGTGTTGGCCCTTCTGGTGGCGCAGTGGGTTAAAGCACAGCACAAAGAAGCTTAAGCCACTTCTGCATGAGTTCTATTCCTGCCTGCCCTGGAGGAGATCCACATGGTGTGGCAGACCTCTCCTGACCCGCCCGCTGCTCCCCTCAGCAGTGTACTTCGTCGATCTGCCTGTTCTACTCCCCACTCTGTCTCTGGGGAATCCTCTCACCACCCCTGCGCCTCTGGCCTGTACCCTAGTTCTGTATGCATAAATAAATAAATCTTAAAAAAAAAAGTCAGTGTTGTAGAAGACAAAGGACATTGCTGGGTGGATTTGTAAAATGGAATAAGGGTGACAGATGAGAATTCCTAGTAACACCCTCCCCACCATAAGGTAGAGAAATCCATGGACAATACTAATGATAGATGCAGTAGGGCCATGATCTAGGAAACAGAATTTAGGGGAAAAAAAAAACAGAGAAAGAGAGTCAGCCCCCCTTGGATGGTAAGGAGGTAAGTTCCTAAAACAGGGGAATCTAAGAAAGTGGTGCAAGAAGTATAAAGGACTTCTTGCTCATGTAACTTTGAAATTATTTCCAGATAATCTCTTTAAAATGTTAAAGCAACACATCATAGGGTCCAGGTGACGCAAATTTTAATCATCCTATTTTATAATTTTTCACACATGCTAGGAGGAGAATAAATTTAGCCCTTCTCAGGAGTTTTACACCTTTTAAAATAACTCAAGGTGTCGTGTCTGCTTTGAAGCATTGGAAGGGATTTCGGCCACTACATGGAGCTTCTCTTCTGCTTGGTTGAACATATTTGGGCAAAAATACTTTGTGGGGAATTGGCCCCTTGCAGGGGAAGGGGACAGCCATATCAGGGGGACTGTGATTAATGTGCCCTCAGATTTGGGCTTGCTTTGATCTTCCTTTTTGTTTGACTTTGGTGTGAAATTCCAGGGTGGGGTTACTCTGGAATGGGTAAAGAGTTGGGATTTTTTTTCTTTTCTTATTTTTAGTTAATTTAGAGTGAATTTTTTTTTGAACAATACTCCTCCTTCAGAGCCCCAAATCTCACCACCACTGCCTAAAACAATAGCTGTCATGATTTTTAGCTCCTAGACACCCTTTTTTTCTCCTTCACACTGACCTCAAACAAGAGATCTCTCTAGGAGCCTCCCTGGTGGCCTAGGGGTTAAATCTCAGCACTATCACCTTAATGGCCTGAGTTCTATCCTGTCAGGGAGCTGACCACAGAACAGGCAGATGAACTGAAATGTACTGCTGAGGGGAGCAGTGGGGAGACAGGAGAGGTCTCTTGTGCCATGTGGGTCAGCTCCCTGGCCTGGGGTCAAACTCAGACTGCAGTGGCTGTAGAGAGCTTCATAGTGCTGCACTTTAACCCCTTGCATCACCAGAGAGAGCCTTTAATCTTTTTTAAAAATGAAGATAATAACGGTTTGCAGCTCTGTATAAGCTTTGGGGTGCAGCCTCACACCTCACAACCGCACACTGTGTACACACCTTAACCACTAACTATCTTTTAAGAATTTTGTTATCTGGATTTAAATAATCTTTTCATCAAGGAAAGGCAACCCATTTAAAAAACAAATTTGCTTTCTACAAAAGAAAGGCATGTGTATGAGATGGAAAAATACCTTTGGAAAAGCCAGTGCCAGGCTGAGGGGCGTGCCTGGCATTGGGAGGTGGAGAGTAAGAAAGAATAAGTAGAAGACACAGGACAAAGACATCTTGAAGTGCTTCTTGCTTCACAAGTTTCTTTGCTTGTATCTCTTAATCTCTAGCAGAAACTGGGAAGGAAAGAAAATCCTGACAACATCTAGCTGGACACGTCCGCAGCCGGCACCATGAAGTTCTGGACGTCGGTACTGATGGCCTCCTTCTGTGTCACTCTATTGTCCGTGATGGGAGGGCTAAAGGAAAACTACGCCGGTAAGTGATGAGGCTGGGGCTGGGTTAAAGTGGGGTGGGGCGCTGTGCTGGGGACTCCTGACTCAGGACACAGCTTCCCCAGGCCACCTGTTAGAGAATCAAATATCTTTTCATGCACAGGGGTAAAGTCTTGTGCTGCTTCTTTCAACTTCGAGAATAGCATCGATGATCTTCCGACTTTTATGTAGAGTCCCTAAGGTCAAAGGATGTAACATTTTCCCAGGTCAGGCTATCTTTAGGGGGGAGGTGGACCCCAGTACAGAGCTGCTCGACCTTCTTGTCCTTCCGGAAGCTCTGTGTCCAGCTGTGTGTACTCTGGTGAGCACCAAGTGGGTCTTTCTTACTAGACAACGTTACTTTTAGTGACTTTTAGGGTATTTTAGAATGTGAAAAGGTAGAAAAGAGACATCAGGTGGGTCCTTAGTGGGGCAAAATTGGGGTGAGGGGAGGTCATAGGATAAGAAAATGAAATCAATGGAGAGGCCAAGAAGAGTGGGTGAGAAAAATAAGAATTCGGAGAGAAGTTGAGTCATTGCAGGCAGGTCAACAGCGAGGGGGAGAAAAGGGAGAGAATCCTCCTTGTGTTCCCTGACCCAGCTTCCCTCAGCATGAGCCGGGCTGGTTGTGAGGCCAGGAGGGCCAGCTTCGGAGACTGGCAGCCACATAAACGGAGACTGGGGGGCAGTGCTTGCCAACGCAGGGGTGCTTCAAGAGGGCCCAGAGATTGGCAACCCTGGTGGGACCCGTGGGAGCAGAAAAGGCAGTGGGGATTTGAGGTGTCCCAGGAGGTGGGTAGGTGTGCTGGGGGACTTGGGGTGCGGATTCTAGGAGGCAGTGGGGATTTGAGGTGTCCCAGGAGGTGGGTAGGTGTGCTGGGGGACTCGGGGTGCGGATTCTAGGAGGGGCTGTTCTATGAGCAAAGGACTTTTTCTCCTGGATGGCTCCGTGGCCCCTGTCAGCGATGACCATCTCATCTCCATTTTCAGACATTGAAATGATCATCGAGGAGTGCAGGGGAGAGGCAAATGTCCAGCAATGTGCCAAGAGGTGTTCGAAAACCTTCAAGTGTGCAGATGTGAACCATACGTGCTGCTGGACCCACTGTGGAAACATCTGCTTGGGAAGCGAGTGAGTTGGGAGGTGTGGGGGGCTGTGGGGGGCCGTGTCTTCACGGGCCCTGGCCCACCTCTTCTCCTCCTGGACGGAGGCCTGAAGGATCTTAGTTCCCAGGCACAGAAGTGAAGCCCCTAAATCTGGAAAGCAGTTCGCTGGCGAATGGACCAAGATGAGAGCTCCGTGCAGTCTCTCGCTCCTTGTCATCAGCGCCTGTGCTGGGCTCACTAGATGGCTTCACCGTTCGCGCGTTTCCAAGTGTTTGTCTCGGTGTCTAACCGATGCCCCATAGTCACGTTTTCCCATAAGCCGTTCTGGTCCGGCCAGGCCCAGAATCTCTGCCTTTCTCTGTTCAGTGAGGGAGACCCCACCCCCATCCCCAGCGTGAAAGGGGGCAACTCTTGTGGGAACATGGAATGCCCCTGTCCCCGGGCCTGGCGTGAAAGGCACTGAATGAATACTGTTTCTTAGTCTTTGCCTCTAAGCATCTATACCTTTGTTCTCTTTCAGAAAGTCTATGAAAGGAAACGAGGACCCAAACCTTCCAAGGAGACACCAGTCTGTTCTCACTAATGACTGAGCCGGGGCAAACCCTTGACGAATAAACTCAGTCGCCGAGAGTGGCTTGGGCTTCCTCCCACTCCTGCCAGTGTCCTCACCACGTCTCCGCGTGTCCCTCTCCTACTCCTGCCTCCCCAGGCCACCTTAGGACTGGGGGCCACCTTAGGACTGGGGGCTAACTCACCTGCTGTGGCTGCAGAGAATAGCGCCTCCCCGCTCTGGAGCCACAGGGAGCCGGCCCTGCCACAGGCCATAGGCCTTCACTCTCTGGCCTCTCAAGTTCTCGGGGGTCTGGCCTCACTGTTGGGGTGGGGGGGGGCTCCTGCCACTCCAGTGTTTGTTTCCTCCTCACCTTCTCACCAGCACAATGGGGACCAGGCGAGGCAAGGACCAAGGCTGGGGAGATGCATGGGGCCCCAGGACCCCTCTCTGGGCCCAGGTCTCCCTGAGACTAGCTCACACCTCGCCGGGCACTGGCACTTCTGACTTGGGGTGAGGATGGTTCTCTTCAGCGCAGAGATGCCGGGCGTGAGCAGAACAGCCAGGGCCTGGCAGGGTGAGTGGGCAGTGGAGGGGGCTCAGGAGCAGGACAAAGGCGTGGGCCCCGGGCCTGCCCTGGGTTCCAGTGATGGCGGCAGGCAGGGCCCCCGTGCTGCGATCTGCTTTATTGCCAACAGCTGTGCTGGTAGTG